TACTATGGGGAGAGAGGGAGCCTATAGAGCTCGAAATTACCTAATTAAATTAAATGACTAAGCTTACTGGAAATACTGTAGGTATAAGGACATTCACTGGCTTACCAACTGCACCTGCGTAGTCATGCAAGTAGCATGCTGGGTTTTTATTGAACACGCTATTCTCTCAGATCTTAATAATAGGTCTTTACCTTTGAACTTAGAGATTTAAAAAACCAGCATTTTCAAATTTAATAATCTGTGGATTAGCGCGCAATTCGAAATACAAATAAATTTTATTCGAAAGCCTTTTCTTTTAATTTAAAATTAAGTCGTTTATTTTAAATAGTTTTTTTAGTAGTTTTTGGTGCCATGAACAAACTAAAAAATTCATACAACTTTAGAATATGAGTTCCTACGTGGAAATACCGATGCACAAACAACAGGAAACATTAACGACGTAAATTGACCTAACACTGCTTGCATAAACGGCATCCATTATTAGTTCAATCGTTGTAGATCGGGCAATTTTGAGTTGAAGAACGAGCCTCGCAGTCGGCAATATTTTTATATTTTAAATATTCATACAAATCTTCAACTTCATAGGTAAAGACCTAATAATTGCTTTTGTATTTGTTACAGTAATAATTGAAAAAGCTTAAAGATATTTTAACCCATTAAGTAACCTATCACGGTACAATACTAAGGCATAGTTAATCTATTCATAATTATATAAAATGACTTACCCTGACTGACTAAATGATTCATCAACGCAGAGCCTAAACGCCCACCCTACAAACTGTTGAAGTTGTAAATGCCCCCTAAGAAAGGTTCTTTGGAAATTTCACTCCTAGTGGGGTAAAATAAGGGATAAAAGGTTGTATAGAAAGTGTCACGAGTAACACTTTGGGAAAACCTTACTTCCAAGCAAATTTTATACACAAAGTTTTAGGTTGGGATACTTCTTATATGAATATACACTTTTATTTACATTAGTAGTGACAGTCTAAAATTTTGTAAGAAAATAAAACCATCTTGACTTTATCTCTTTTCATTTAGGGCAACATTTCTCGGAATGGCTTAAATATTTAATAGTCCCGGGACCAGTTGACACAACACTGATGTTAACTGAACGAAGTTTTATTTATTTTTCAAAGCTCATTTTCAGGGTTCCCTATCTCAAAAGGTAAAAAAGGAACCCTTATAAGATCACTTTCTTGTCCGTCTGTCCGTGTGTCACAAGTTGAAATTTATACCAAATACTGAGGTCTATGGTTCCTATTAGGTGTATAAAAATCAAGGTCCTGAGTCAACACGATAAAAAGATATGGGCAAATTTCGATTTTCGCGAAAACTTGAAAGTACCAAAATTTACCTTAATTTTCAACTTTTTTATTTTTCAGAATTTTTTCTTTACTTGTGCTGTAAGACCTTGCTTTCAACCAAAATTGACAATTCTAGGTCAACCTGAAGTACCCTATAGGTTTTGGGTCGAAAACCTATATGGTAGTTCCCGTTTACCTAGAATCACGAAATTTTGCAAAAAGAAACGTCTTACAGCACAAATAAAGGAATAATTCCAAAAAATGAAAAAAGTTGAAAATTAAGATAAATTTTGGTACTTACAAATTTTCGCGAAAATCTACGTAAAATCTGGGTAGGTACGCGCACGAGTTTGACTCGTACCTGACCGGTTTTTTTTAGCTAAATAACCTTATCAATTTATTTACGACTGAAAAAGTTTTAAAGAAAGTTCTATCGATTTCTATTACGTAGTGTTTAACTACGTAATAGAAATCGTCTTCTGATTATCTTTTTATATGTAACTAGTTGGCTCCTACGTAATTTATTATTCAGACTTATCCTTTTTAGATTTTTTTTAAATTACATTTGGTATTAGTAATTAAAATTAGTTACTGGATTTATTTTTTTATATTTAAGTAGTTGCAATTTAGCCGACAAATTAAACCCTGAGCAAGCTTAAATTGGCGCAGTAAGGTGAGTTTCAATGGTTTTTTTTTGCATTCGATTCGTAAGACCGTCCAAAATCTTTTTAAAGATAGTTATTCAATGCATTTTGAAAAAAATGTTGGCAATGAAAATAATTATTTCAGAAAAACAACTAAGAAGCAATAAATAACAATTCGGTCAATTGTGACATCAATAAGTTCAATTTTGTTAATCAGGGGCTTTGAAGGGGCGCTGGTTACGAATATGCAGTCGGCGACGACGTTAAAGGTACCTGGAGTCCAGGGTGGCCGTCAAACTCGTTGTCTTCTGCATTTTGCTTTTAATTCATAAAACATCTAACGAAAATACCTACTCAAGGGTTTTGAGGATCGCTAAACACTTATATTTTAATTGCAAAAATGCATTATTTCGAAATGTATTGAATAACTACTATCTTCACAAAGTTTCTATGTTATGAATCGAATGCAAAAAACCCGTCGAAGTCCATCTTACTGCGCATATTTGAGCTTAATTGGCTTGATTTTGTGTTTTATTTCTTCGCCTAGTTGCCAGTACTTGAAACATCTCTGTATTACAAAATCATAGCATCGACGTGACTATGTAGAAATAAACGACTAAACCAAATTCATCTTCAACATCAGAGTAATTAACGAAATGAGCGGTTTACAGCAGTCTCCTTGAGCGACGAGCTCTATGAAAGGGTGTTAGGAACATGCACATCAATTAGCTTTACAAAGATTTATATCAGACCGCATGCTCAGTTCATTTACATATTGTAAGAAATAGGACTAATCCCTGCCACACGTCCACCACTGTAACTGCTGTACACCAGGATCAACAGCAGTGACCCACGAACACACCGAGTTATGACATTCGGGAAGTCCCAGGAAAAAAAAATGTCTTGGTCCGCAAGGAAATTAATCAGAAAAAAATTGGAGGAGTTGGAAATATCATAAATCCACTTCCCTCCTTAGCGAAGCGGGAGACAAAATTAAGTAAAATAGGCATACACCCTTTTAAACAGGGAACACAACGGCCACAAAATGTTTTGGGCCATAAGTTACCTATTTTTGATTTCTATAATATTTATGGCAGAATTAGCTAATCGCACGGAAATTCAGTCTAATTGACACAAGATCCTCATAGTATACCGCCCATAATATCGTAAGAAACTTAACTGTGACCCCATCCTTGTATTTTGGAATGGTTTCAGCAGGTTAAAATCTAAGAAAAACTTCTCTAATCTACCCCATATAACTTTTGCCCGGAATTGTTATATCTATCTAGTGTAGGAATATCTGTATTTTTGAATTATTTCGCAGGCAGTAACTTTGGTTTGGCATAGACCTCAATCTGGCTAAACCATTATCCTCTTATAAAAATGACACACGAGAGGCTGGTGAGTTTAAGGCATTCGTTCCGAAACAATTGATTTGGTGTGGAACAGACTGCCGCTAACTGTAGTCTTCAATGTTGGCAATAGATACAAACAGTCATCATTAACCGTAGGAAAGTCATCCTTCGACGTACTCGTATATGGGTCTCGACCTGAGTAATACCACGACCGCGTAGAAAACCGGAGTGAAGCAAATCTTTCATTCCTTTTCACAGAGTGAGTAAGGTGACCGGAGTTTTGAGTTTCATGTGTCCATGGGCGTCGGGCACTTAGCACCAGGTCGAACAAAGCTTGTCTGATGGTTTGCCCATGAAACCATAAAAACGAAGGTATAGATTTATTCGTATTTTAATACATTAAAATAAATATAGCACAGCATGTTTAAATGGGTAAGAATTTCCATTCTTGTTGCGATGGAATTTCGGCACTGAGCGTTATTCTGCTAGCAGAATAACGCTCATTGTTATATTAACAGCTTATAATACGAGAGTATAAAATATTTATGTTTAATAGTTGAAATGAAAGAACATAATTGTATGGTGGTAACGATAAATGTATTTTTTTTATCTTTTTCTTATCATTTGAATATGCCATTAATATAAAAGTTTGTAAGAGGAAAATTTATTCAGGGAGATATTCAGAGCGTTGGCAAATGTGTTCAGAGGTTTTCAAGACGCTTTAATTAACGCGTTACTAAGTACTAGGTACTCATTGCCTAACTACCTAAGCAAATCTCAAAAAACGAGTTTTTTTGTACAAACGATTTGTTTTGACAGATAGGTATGGCGAGAAGAAGAAAAAGGAGGTGGAGGTTTTCTTTTACCTTCTAACTAAAGTTACAGATCAGGACATTGGATTAGGCGTATTTTCATCCATAGGGTTCTGATAATCAACAATGATTTACAAAATCAACATTAAACTACCACGACTTAGTCAAAGTTAAGTAGGTAAATATTAGTGCTTAAATTGCGATAAACGTAACAAATACATTCCTACGACTCAAACGATGGACCGATAGACTTTTCATAATTTTTCTAAAATTCGATAAATGCCCACCAAAAATCAAGTTGGAAGGAATTATCTTAAAATGCTATTTTAACTGCACCTATACATATAATATCTATGTACATAGGCATCGTTTCTTATATATATATATATATAATATTCATCTATTCTTAAATTACTAAACGGTGATTCGAAGCAAGTCACCGTCGACACGACAAAAAGCTTTAATGTTAAATGAGTAGTCGCTAGGTCAACTATGAGTATCTGACCTACTTGGAGGTCGGTATATTATTATTTCAGTCGCCTATCTCCGTATCTTGATCTAATCATAGAAATAACACGAAAATGGACATTTTCGAATCGTTTATCACGCTACAACTTTTACAAGATAGTAAATTATACGAAATTAGGCATATGGCATGAATTCAATACACATGTACTTTTTATACTTTTGGCCTAGGTTACTATACTGCCTGTGTCCAGCACGAATGTTCAAGTATTTAATATGAATAAATAGTGTTCATTATTTTAAATTTGACACTATTAATGTTGTTGGTGCCATTGATAAATTGTGTCTGAGAGATTTTCCGTTCTTTGCACTTTGTTGTCTTAGAATATTAAGTACATTTCAAATAAGTCTCTAATACTTATGCAGGTAGCACTGAGCTACAACAGCAAAAATAACATATTAAAAGAGAAGGAGAATTCATGGTAAGTGTAATTTTTATATGTCTCGAGATTGTAGTACGAAATAAGATATAAAAGTCAGACAACGCCTTATGCGATTAATTGCGATAATAGTTGGCAATTTTAATAATTTCTTATCAGATTTTCCATGTAAATTTAAGTTTTTTATTTGTAACAACACAATATTTCCTCGAGTTTATATTCTGAGATATTCTTATTTTCCTATGTTTCAACTATATTACTAAATTATTATATTTCAATGGTGTTTCTACATTTCTTTACATTTTAATATATTTACTCTTGTATTTCACGATTTGATAATATATCGTGGGATGGCGACAGCGACGTGGAAGAGTTATTACACAGAGATAAAGAAAACTTCTCAATCGATGATGACGTGATAGGAGGAGGTGGAAGCCAAGTGGAACAACAAACACTAACGGATGGACCTAAAGGCGGCTCATCGATAATAACTCGGCGATGGGACACGGCTGGACCATTAACATCGCCTGCTAATGAACCTGATGAGGAACGGTTTATGGAAGCAGAGTCAGACAGCCAGAACGAGCCAGTCGAAGAGCCTACATGCGAGCCGGAAGTTTGAACTTCAGTCTCTAGTGGAATAACCCCTTATCGCGTTTGCTGTTGCGGAAAATCCCAAGCATTGATTATAATGGGTTTTTGTAAACATCGTCTTAAGAGGGAGGAATGTTGTATATGTGTGTGGCTGCGCCCACCACGTTCTGTCCTGACAATAAACCAGTGTGCATCTAGCAAGCATTCGATTCCCTCGCTCCCTAGCCTACACATACATAACACTACCCATTATGAACATTACGAATAAACAAACCACTGAAGTATTACGAACCTTTTTAGTTCAAAGGACCCTTTCGATTTTATTATTTTAAAGTCTTAGTTATTTTCTACTATATTTTCTATTCAAACAAGCTTATATTAAATTAAACTTTTGGAAGCATATTCTGGTCTGCTTGTGAAATAAGTTAATAAAATAACAGTCAATCACAAATCCTCATCATGATAATGTTTTAAACGTTAGTCAGAAAGATCTTCTAAGATATTTCTCTAGATAAGAACACATTTTGAACACTTTGATAATTTTGGAACATAATACTGGTATCGCCTTGGTATTGCTTAATGTTATTTTTGCTCACATCAGCAAAAATAACATTAAAATAATGCTAAATAAGTTAAAAGTATTGTTACATAGTTCTATTGTATCAAATGTAAGTATATTATAGTTTATAGGTTAGAATAAAACGAATGGGATGACAGAACAATTAGGAATAAAGTATGGAACTACAAGTATAGTATGTGCAAATATGGTGAAGAATATATTTTGACAATAATTATACATTACTAGCCATACCCTGCCACGCTTTGCTATGACAAATTGTGGTTATATTTATGAGAAATGAAGAACAAAACCGATGCAAAAAATAGAATTTGACAAAAACCAACTTTAAATCAGGTTGTATATCATGTCAAAATTTGAGCTCCATTGGAGCAGTACTTTTTGATTTTTGAAGCGTAAACAAAAGAACTTAACCTTTTTTAAATATATTGTGTAAAAATATTGTGAATTACTTAAACTTATTATTAAAAGATATATTCTTTAAATAAAATATGGATAATTGTGACTCGGGAAGGTAACGCACTCAGAGGGTATTTCTAGACTCTCAGAGGGTATATACACTTCTTGAAAGGGTCGCTTAAAGTAAAAACCAGGGCCATCGCCAAGAAGAGCATCTCAAAATTCATCGTTTGTTTAACGTTCTAGTACCAAGAGGTTTGCCTTACAGAAAATAATGTTTTAAAAGTCTGAATCATTGAACCTTTCATTCGAACCCTAAATCTGTCAATGTTTTAAATTTATCACATAGCTTCATATAAACCAGAAACAAGAATTTGATGAACTAAACTTCACTACTAAAGTATCTTCACTACTAAAAGAATCATTTTATTTATTTATGCAATTAATATTATGGGTTTCGCATATAATTAATTGTAACACACAAGTGTTGTAATGGGAGTAAGTAGTCAAACCCTTCATAACCCGTTCCGTGTGGTGACGGATTAAGAAAACGAAGTGTCACCACCCTTACACATCCCGTGGGTATCGTAACAGCCAACTAAAGGAGCAAACAACGCAGGACAATAGAACTACAAAGAGAAGGAAAACTTGAAACAAACCCTATACCAACCCGTCTGGCCAGCGTGGTATAGTAGACCAAAACCTTATTCTAAGGTAAGACCTATGTCCAAGAGTGGATTGTTCAAGGCTGTTGATGTTGATGATGATGACTCACTCAAAAACACAAATCAGGAAAACGCTTTTAATATTTTCACAAGTCAAAAATGACGGTATTTTCGGAACGCGCTCCAATTCTCTACATATTTTGTGCAAATCCTTCCCGTCTCCTTTAACATTTTCTTTGATTTTCTTCATACCATTATAGTATAGTATATGGTTTTCGATTGTATAAGTATTTAAGCATAAGATGGCACTCAACATGAAAACAATAGACCAATTTGATATTGCGGTAGGTTCAAATCAATACGTGTGTACGTGGCAACAAGTGATACATTCAATTAAATAATTACGAGTATATTTAAAAGCCCAAAATATTTACCGATTATATTTAACTATATTTCAGCATCAGACCATATATAAAAGAACAGCGTTGACAAATAATAATGTACATAATGTAACAATTATTGTATCTCTGTTCAGATAGCATTGACTGTCTCGGTGGTGCAGTGGTAGCATATGCGACTGCTTTGCTGGGGTCAAGGACCAAATGTTATACAAACATTTGGTCCGACCCGGACTGCAAATATTTGTTTTGGGGTGCGAGTGTTTTCTGTGTATAATATGTATGTATTTACAAAAAGAAAAGTATTCTATACTCATTGAATTATAGAATACTTATGTACTTTTTAATTTAGATTGCTACCTTTCGTAGTACAAGCTCTGCTTAGTTTGAAACTAAATGACATTGTGTAGCAGATGTCCGAAATTATTATTATTATTATTACGGCTAACCAAAATATAGAGAAAATCCTTAATATTAATGTTTATTGCCGAAATAGAACACAAAACTTTAAGATCCAGTTTTGTTTGTTAATATAATGGACAAGATAAGCATATTATCATAAATCCTATGTATATTGATGCAAATTATAAAGTAAAGTTTTACGGTGAAGATAAGAGGTAAAGTAAACGTGTAGGTAGTATTAACAATTTGTCAATGTTTTAATTTCTAATAAAAAAATAGTATGGAAACATCTCTTAAGGTGAAAAAATTGAGCGTTTCTGGAAATATTAATAGTTATATACATTCTTTTGTCTCGTTTGGAATCTTCCACGGGTCATCAAAGCCGAGGGTAAAGTAGTGTTGAATAAAATCACACTGTGTTCTTTCACAAATTAATCTTTGAATCGTAAAGCCAACGAGAACCCCTACAGCCTTAAGGGGCCTGATAAAACGGTAGAACACCGTGGAATGCTTAGAGCCAACCCCTCCTTAAATCATACCGCGCGTAATACTTCCCGCCACTGTCTAAGGCCTTCTTCTGCAAAAGTATCGTGAGCCCGACCCCCTGCCTAATAATAGAATCTACCCATTTACTTAAAAGCTATTTAAAGTAAGCTTAAGTGTAACTGCAATATAACTCAGCATGGCATAAATATAGTATTTTAGATAAGAGTATCAATATCCCAAGTTTGCCCTTGAAGGAACGAACTTCGACAAACTCGGTTTATATAGCCCAAGGGACACAATCAGCCTAAATTCAGAATGCTGATCGATCGATAAGTTATCAGAATTAATGCTTTATTGATCCTTAAAACTATAGTGGTAAGATACATTTTTCTAAACGATATCTTGGCACAGTATATAACGGTTGCTGAGTAGTTAAATTGGCACAGTTAGTAATAGGGTCTTTTAATTAGTTAACAAAACATTAATCCTTTTTCCTTAGATATTATAAAACATGGTTCTGCTAATAATATAAGATTTAAATCATCTCCTAATAGAGGAGGAGGTATTAGGTTCTCAATTCAGCTGTATGTATTTTTATGTTTTATGATTGTCAGAACTCCGTCGTTTATGAACCGACTTGAAACAATGTTTTTTTTTTTATATTCAAAAGGATAAAGGTACTTTTCGTATTGGATCCCATTTGAATTTTATGAAAAGATGAAAATTAATTAATGAAGAATACAGTTTTTACAATTCATTAAGGAACGCTGAAAGTGGTGATACTTCTTTAGAAGTTAATTCTTTATTAGTACAATTTAAAGTTGTAGATTTGTTCGAATTTCCTTCACCGTCTGTTTTTTTTTTTAAACCAAAAAGAAAACTAATAAATGTTTGTGTTTTGCGTTTGTGTCGGTATTCGCGGTGAAAAGTAGCCTATGTCCTTCGTCGAGAATCAAAGCGGTAAAGACAGACAGTTAGTTACTCTCGCATTTATAATATTAGTAATATTTACGTTTTTTAAGATTGAACTAGTTTTTGTCTATAGAGGTTATAACGTACGACCACTTCTTTACAACACATTGTTATAGAAATATAGAATGTAACATAACAAAATTCTCAATGCAAACAAAACTAATCCAATTACACAATCTAAGAATAAACGCAGCGGAACATCTCCGCTGAGTTCACGTCAGAACTGGGTCACAATCGCAGTATTTTTATACTGCCTACATAAATCCAACCCTCCTGGACCATACATTGTATAAAAGTCACCACCGCACCTCGTCCCTTAATCCCACCTGAGCTGTCCGTTATGAACCACTGACAACGACTCCTATCAATAATTCAGTACGCAATCTTGGTAGACAATATTATTTTAATAAAACCGCTTGTAATAAAAGAGCCCTGTATTTTGTTATTCTTCTTTTGGGCTGGAAATGACACGCGATATTTGCCATTGGGCTTAGAGGTTTACGTTTTGCTTAAATTATATTATTTACACGATCACATTTATAAAAGCATAATCAACTGGTCCACTATTTATTCCAATATAATACGTATAGAGTAGAACATCATATTAAAGAAGAAATGAATTTAGAAATCTTAGATTTAGCGTAACCATACAATAACTAGTGTTTATAGTGCATAAGGTGCTTGCCTATAATTGTAACAATTGTAACACTATGCTACTTCATTCTAATTGCAAAATGTTTGTTTGTTAAACTGGGTATACAATTGGTATTATAATTAATTGTAATTGGTAAAAACAAAAAAACCCCGGACAAGAGCGAGTCGGAGAATCCCACCGAGGGTTCCATACAAATTTGTAGGTACATATTTTATATTATTAAATAAATAGTTCAGAAATAGAGTCTCGCAGTTTTTTTCCGAGCTTTAGCCAAAATTTATGAAGACTATATTTTTTATGATTTAATCACAAATGTATAGCTTTCAGATTTTGCCGTGTGTGTTAGTACAAAACGATTTCACTAGCCAAATTTTATAGTTCTAAGTCACCGAGAAGTACCCTATAAATTTTGACTCCCTTGAGAGTGTCGAAAAATGAGATTTATTGCGGCATAATAATCTAATATCATTTTTACTTTTACTTAGAAATTTGATGAATGCATTAAGAACTATAGACCTAGCCATGGTTTAAATTTCAACTGGATACGTCCACGCGTTCCGGAGATACAGGGTCTTGACAGACGCATGGACAGACAGACAACAAAGTGATCCTATAAGGGTTCCTTCCTTTTGAGGACCTTCCTCCCTTCCTTTTACAGAACCCTAAAAACAAAAAACTTATACAATAGTTGTCCTTGACTATTCTAAAATTACACATATGTACTTTTTATGAATAATAATAATAGATACGATATGCCACGTGCGATGCACATACTTTCGAAAACTGAAACCCATGTTACTTTAGTCTTAAAAAAATAACTATAAAGTTCGAAAAGAACATAGAATTATCCTATATCCTTTTCAGGTCTTCTAGAAACTGTTACTGACCAAAGTTGAAATTAATAGTATGAAAAGTTGATATACATAGACAAAATTTGCCTTTATGCACGCAAAGAAGACTATCGATAAACATCCCTCAGAAAGCGGCCATTAGCATTTTAGCTTTGTAATCTTTAACTTGTCGCTTAGAATTTTGTAAATAGTGATACATAGTGATAGGGCCCCAAAAAAAAAGGTTTACCTTTCTTTTTTAATAGGTAAAATGCTTTATAATGTACAATGTGTCTGGGTTCGGACTGTACAAACTTTAGGGGGTGATAGTTTCAGGCCGGGGTGGCGGCGAGCGCGTTGCGAAGCGCGCTCGCTTCCAGGGAGCACAGGGAACATGGGGTTCCCACACGGGGCGGGGGTCGTCTACTCGTCTGTAGATGACCCGAGGTATGTCGGGGCACCAGGGCCTTCCTTTCTAGGGTATACCTGGTTCCCCGGCTATTAGTACCCGGCGAAGGCGTGCGGTTTTAGTCGGTTCGAGTCCGACATGCCACCGAGAGGTGGTATCCGAGGGGATTTCCGCACGGAAAAAAAAAAAAAAAAAAAAAAAAAGGGGGTGATAGTTTGCTCTATTTTATCACTAAAATCATTCTACAGGTGAGGTCTAAACCCAACGGCCCCTGAATGGCAGCCATTTTGATATTTTGGTTGACTTTTTCGTTACGTCCATACTAAAAGTTATGTAACTTTTAGTTTAATGTGCGATTATCATAAAACAAAAACTTCCCATAACGGAAAAGTATTAGCAATCAGATAAATAACTCAAATAGTTTTAATAATTGCTGTATCATATTAAAATTAATGCTAAAAGATCAACTTTACGTCAAAATTAACATTGTTTTTTAGTATTTCAAGGCTATTACAAAAAATACCCCTGTGAACTATCTCTTATTATGCAGGTGTCTCACAGATGGTAAGCTTACCTAAATAATGATACCAAAAACTGAATTCTATGACAATTGGTTTAAAAAATATTGTTGTTGGAACATAGGCTTGTGCATGTAGTGAATTCATAACGATTTGGTTTTTCTTTAGATATTTACAGTGATTAGCAAACATAAACAAAATAACAAGTATTAATTATTTAATAACAAATGTACATTTACAATAATTGTTCAAAATGTCCCCCACCACTTTGAAGGCACGCAGTAGCCCAGATCGCTACCTGCTGTGTTGACCCTCTCAACTGGTTCGGATCATCTTTAATTTCAGCAGCAGCAACGCGAATACGCGCCAGCAACTCTTCTCTGGTGTTGACTGGCTCAAAATAAACTTTCTGTTTCATCCAACCCCAGAGATAAAAGTCCAGTGGCGTTAAGTCTGGTGAACGCGGTGGCCAGGCTACAGGACCGCCGCGGCCAATCCACTGTGGATGATATTGGTCTAGGTGTGCCCTTACCGCTCGGGCAAAGTGTGGAAGAGCTCCATCTAACTGAAGCCACATGCGTCGCCGATATGACAATGGTAATTCTAATAACGCTTCAGAAAATTCATTGGTCAGAAACTCTAAAAATATTGGGCCATTTAAATTTCTTGGGAGTACGATGGGGCCAATCAATTGATCATCGATCATAGCTGCCCACACATTAACAGAAAATTTATGCTGAAATGTTGATGTTCTAACAGCATGTGGATTTTCAGCCATCCACAAGTGTAGATTTCAAAAATTTGTAATTTCTCTTCTTGTGAATGATGCTAGTGTACGTCGCATATTCTGAGTTACCCACAAGCAGAACACTATAGATCGTGCAGCATTGTCTGACTCTCTTATATCCTGCACACGTCTTAAATAATATGGATGTAGTCCTTCTTTCTTCAAAATCTTCCAGACTGTCACTGATATCGTGATATGCCTAAACGCGTTGAAATACGACGGATCTTGGATCACTGAAGATTAAATTCAACACCGCTTCTTCACTATGTACAGGTACAGATGGGTTACGTTCACCTTAAGGCCTCCTTATTCCATATTCAGCTAATCTAGCGTGAATATTCTAGCGAGCACGAGTTCCCATAACGAATAATTAGAACGTAACGACACTTATAAGTGAAGAACAATACGCACAGGAGCAAATTAGGGTTTAGGCCCCACCTGTAGAATGATTTTAGTGATAAAATAGAGCAAACTATCACCCCCTAAAGTTTGTACAGTCCGAACCCAGACACATTGTATATATATATCTCCAGGAAACTAACGAGAATTATCTTTGTAGAAGAGATTAAGTCAACTAACACTATTGATATTCTCGTGGAAACTAAATTAATAAATTCATTAAGATTGCTACATTGAACCTTATATAACAGTTATATAAATACTTATATAACCTTATTAAACAGTATAATTTATAACCAGTTTATTAAAACGTAAACATTTATGTAGTCCTTTTTATTACAGCAAGCCGATGACGATGACCGCCCATCCATCAGTATGGAGGTGAAGAAGCTAGAAAAACCTGGCAGTCTATCGCCAGTGAAGTCAGCGTTGAAGAGAGACAGTGCGGACGATTTAAGGAGCTCTAGATCCAGTAGTAAATCTGAGAAAGAGTTGAGACTACCACCTGAAAAATCACCTTGTGATGATAGCGGATTAAGGAAGGAAAGAAGACTGTCTAGGACCCCTGACAGCTCTAAAGATACCTTTGAAAGGTGTGTATGAAATTATAGGTAAACATCATAAAATAGTAGAAATATAATATGAATGATCTCCATTACTCTTCCCTACTATTAGTCCCATATAGTGGTGGGTCAGCCCTCTTCGTATTATTCTTTCACTTCAACCTGTCCCTTTCGTCGTGTTCTGAAAAATTACCTTCATGTCTCTCCGCAACACAGCTGTCCAAGTGGTTTTCGGTCTCCCTCTAGAACGTGCTCCGGGAACAGGAAAATATAATATAAATAGGGAATCCAATTATTTCTTTGTTTGTCAGGTCTTTGTTACTTATAAGGGGTTATCCAAAAATTACGTCACACGAATTTCATGTTTCTTTTACCCATACATCAAATCAAACATTTAAATTACATTACTGGTTAAAATTCAAATTTTACGTTTATTACTTAGATACGAGTATACTTTTTGGGTTTGCAATGTGACCTTACGAAACTAAAGAACCCTCCTACTCATTATCACACAATGTCTCACTTTGTCGATCCCCTCGACCTTAACGTGTGACGTCATTTATGGATGACCCCTTATTGGGAGTGCCAAAACAGCCATAAGATACCTTTTATATAGAAATAAGAAACTATTCCCGAAGAAAGCTTGAATTGGTTAGCAAAATATACATAAACGCGAGACTCTGGATTCTGGTGACTGACAACTCAATCTTTATAAGAAATGTTATACCCCAGACACCGCCTGGAATACCGAATGCCTTCACCAGAGTTATAACACTTCGATGTTTTCTCCAGATTAAAAATGTCATCGCAGTTAAAATATCATATTCTATTCTCGAATTCAACCGTCGCGTCGTCACGTTTATTGATTTCAATATTTTAATGCACCTACTTTAAAACATGTCATTCACTCTTATCTTATCTATGATTGAATACAATATGCATGAATCATGGACAAGCTATCGAACAGTAATTTTTTTGAAATCCTACTTCACGGTTCACTGACTTGTCGTGAAGCTATTCTCAAGCAAAATTGGCTTAGTTGGCTAGGTAGACAAGTATATATTCTTGATCCAAACCATTATACAGATTGAAATTATATAAATAAAATTGACCAGTTGTCTCAAATTAACGAGTTTAAGGTTACAGTTAGTTAAAGAATTGGTTTAAGTTCACAGTTAGTTGTTGAATTGGCATCCGAGCTATTAAATATTATGTTATAGCTTTTGAATATATTTGCGTAACTGAATATTGTGTTAACTGAACCTGAATCAGAATCTTAATTTTAGCAGTTTATTTGAAGAAAATCGGAATGTCGTTTTTCGGACCGAGAACCCATTGAGCATTTGATTCTTCGAACGTATAAAAATCGGAAAACAAACATCGCATTTACGACTTTCGGTAAATAACTTTCATAAATTTTATAATATACATTATAATTCTTAGGCATTACGAAATTCGGCCTTTTGAAAATCGGAAGTTAAAATTTTTGGCAACTATTTTGGATAACAAAGATGGATACAGACTAATGAAACAGACATGTTTACAATGTTTTGAACACAATTATTTTTGTTTTGTCCTTGCAGATTACATTACTTTGGTAAAATGGATGGCATACCTATATTGTAATGGAACTTTATGCACGTATTTTTTTTTTGGTGACTGACTGGACTTTAATAGGCTTTTGAAAATTAAGTTCGGGTTCTATTATTTATATTTCTACTAGCTTATGCCCCCTGCTCCGTCCGCGGGTATGTCGGTTTTGGCGGTAAAAAGTAGCCCATTTTAATAGCTGATAATGTAACTTTCCATTAGTGATAGAATTTTTAAAATCGGTCTGGTGGTTTCGGTGTGAAAACGAAACAAACAAACTCACTTTCGCATTTGTAATATAAGTATTGATACACATTAAAGTCACAAAACCTCCGTTCTTAAGGGTTTACGTTTTACATTTTGTTTTTTTTTTTTAAATCGAGGCCATTGTGTGAAATAATTGTATCTCTACAAGAATGTAATCAGATGGGATATGTTTTAGCGGAATGCCGCTCAAAATTTGACCCGTTTGACGTTCATGTAAGCCGTGAACCCTCGCCACTGTTTGCAATTTCCATTTTTCTCTTTTTGTTTGTCGTACAAATTAAAGCTTACCACTACCTTGTTTCTTTCGCAAAAATAATCAAAATAACAATCTCTCAGACTTAAACTGAAGTGTTTTACAACAGATTTCTGTAGCATTCTTCCGAAGGTTCTTCGTTATTTATCGTTTGCTACCATAAAAAATAATACTAACTAACAACAGCACTAGCTGACGGACAAAAACTAAAACCTCTATCAGAAAGGTAAATTAGATCAAATTAAATTTCTTTGAGCCACGAGTTGGGTAATTATAGCGGTGTTTTCAATTGCTTAAAAACTAATATATATTTACAAGATGTTAAAATCATCAAGACATAATGGGATCTTACAAAGTATGTTCACATATTGCAAATTTAAACATTTTAAGTGCGTCTATGATAAGAAACACAAAAGCAAAGAAAACAATTACTGATTAATTTGCTCTCGTAATCTACACAAGGGTCGAAAACTGTGAGTAACATTAAGTAATCCATCACTCTGGTAAGATGATCGATGAGATAGCCCCGTTTACCGGCCCCTAATAACTCAGGCAATTTCGTGACTAGAAAATATTTTGCGACAGCCCTGTAATGCAATCAACAGTGTTTAGTTTCATCTTGATACCGTTGTTCTACCGGCTGCTCGTTAAACTTTATGATTTATTTGTCGGATTTCTCCTGAATTTACTACAGTTGAAAACAAAGAGTTGCCCAGAAAATAAACTTCAAATTTTATACTAGAACTACCGTTTATTCATCAAGTTCAAGATTTTCGAACGAATGGCCTTCTACAGTCATTGACGGCCGTACAATACAGTTTTTCCTGTGCCCAGTGGCTCGTAAATTGCAACACAAAAACAGAACAAAATACGCTTCCCGACTGAAACTGATCGTTCGTCGATTTGTCAGTGGCGACAAACATATGGAAAATTATGGCCTATTGCTGAACATTTTTCATTGTCACTGTCTGCTAACATATTCAAAAGGGAAAATCTATACAAAGTTGCACATAAATAACTAAAATACCTATGCATAGATAGACTCTAAGCCTTGCTAGTATCAAGTATAGATGTAAATTTAAATTTACTATTTTTATCTTCATCTAGTGAAATCATGGTTAATAAATTTACTTACACATAAAACTACCATAACTTAGTCTTTTTTGTGTAATTCTAAGCATATGGCCGTGGTAACGTACGTACTTACGGTACATTCGATTTGCTTTTCTCATGCATTTAATAGTAGTGTGTTTGTAATTTGTTAACAGACAAGATTCAAAGAGCACTTCACTGTCGAGCCCTAAGGTATCTCGGAAATACTTCACAAATTGGCGTCAGGCATGTGACAAGACGAAGGACAAGACGAAAGAGTTGTTGAAGCGGTGGCGGACTTTACCAGAGAGCGACGGTGTTGAAACACCAATGCAAGCCGCCGGGAACAGCGAAGAAGATAAACAGCGGGGATGGAGTGTTCATGTTTGGAGTAAGTACAGTATTTTCATTATATATGCTGCAAATCATGGACTGACCTATAATGCTAACAAAACAGAGTTTATGATTTTTAGACACAACATACCTGACAGCTTTAACCCAGTAATTACTATAGGTGGGGTTTCAAATATCTAGGGCATCTAATAAGGGAATAATAAGGGATAACCTTTAGGGACGATGATGACATGGAGAGGCAGAGCAGGTCTATTGCCGCTAAGAGTAATATATTAGCACGCCGTTTCGCTCGGTGTAGTAGGGAGGTTAAAGTCACCCTGTTCACGGCTTGCTGTCAGTCATTCTACACTTGTAGCTCATGGAGGAACTACACGCAGAGAACGTACCACACATTACGAGTTCAAAATAAAAAAGCTTTAAAAGCCATGCTCAACCTGCCGTTGTGGTGTAGTGCTTTTGGCATGTTCGCCTAGAACAGGGTAGACCACTTCTTTGCAATGCTGCGAAAGAGGGCTCCTTCAGTTATAAAAATAATCACAAGTACGGCAAACTCAGTAGTCCATGCGGTTTATCATAGTTGTCGATACAGCATATGTGATGTGGTAAATGACTTATGTTGTTGTACTTATTATTAATTTTATTGTAATGAGTTGTAGTAATAATTATATTTTGTGTTATTTTGTTATTTTGAAATTTTGTTATATTGTAATTTTGTAAGAGTGTTATTTTATGATTTTGTTATTTTGTCTATGGGTTAATACCTGAAATAAATGATTATATATCAGTATATATCTACATTTTTAATACATAATTTTATTAATTTTATAAATTTGGACAGATGATAATAACTTGACACCTTTTTTTTTTTTTTTTCCCCGTGCGGAAATCCCCTCGGAAATGACGTCGAAAATGACACCTCACACGCGGCCCTCTGATTCAATACAAGGCAGAGCCCGTAATATGGTAACCAGATTGTTGATAAGCATACTTATATAGTTCTAAATACATACATATTATAGATAAATTACACAAACAAATGATCATGCTTATCACATCATATTTTGTGCTGGGGGGGATTCGAACCCACTAGACCAACAGAATGGATGAAGGATATTTAATCATTGCAGAACATTTGAAAGGATCTAGATAAAATTTGTCTATCACACAACATTACTGAAGAATACACACTTAGCTATATTGGATTAGGAAGAATAAAACATGAATCCAGTGCTCCCTTTTTTAGATTTTCAATAGCACTTCAAACGTTATTTCAGATGGTATTCACATTGTTGTACACAGACAATACGTGTTTTACTACTTTACGCTTTATGCTTTTAATACAGAGCATTCCGACTATAAAATCTTCTTTATTTTATTTGTCTGCAGAAAAATAAACTTCAAGCTGTAAGTATGTTACTCGTATATTAGCTGTATATTTTTTTTTTGGCAAAATAATACTCGTAGTAACACACACGGCCATCTGAATCCAAACTAAGCAGAGCATATGGTAACCAGACTACTAAACGTGCATATAAATTTTTAGATAAATTACACCCAGACACAGAACAAATGATCGTGCTCATGACACAATATTTGTCTTGGATGAGAATCGAACCCACGACCTCTGGCTTAGCAGTCAGGGGCACTAATCACTAAACTAACAGGCCACTCAATACCTATCGTATCATCAATATGTGTCGTATATCTATGTGTAGCATATCCTTTTTTTATTTTTAAAGATGAAAATCTTAACAGTTTTCCTGTACCTATAAATTTTTAAGGAAAAATTCCAACCCCCTTGTCTGGCTAAAGTAACAAGTAAAATGAATTAGATATATTCCAATTCATTTTACTTGTTAATTTAGCCAGACAAAGGAGTTGAAATTTTTGCATCAAGATAGACTACTGAATATACCTGCACTTCTAAACTTCATAAATTTGCCCAAACACAATTTTTCTGCCTTTCAACCTTTAGTAGTCCACTGCTGGTCATAGGCCTCTCCTTAGAAAAGAGGTTTTGGCCACTATACCACGCTGGCCAGACGGGTTGGTATAGGGTTAGTTTCAAGTTTTCCTTCTCTTTGCAGTGCTGTTGTCCTGCGTAGTTTGGTCCCTTAGTCGGCTCTTACGACACCCACGGGATGAATAGGGGTGGTGACATTACGTATTCTTATTCCGTCACCACACGGATACCCACATTACCCTAAATATTTCTCCAGATGATGAAGACCATAACGAATGTATGAAGGTGTAAAGAATGTACGAAAAGAGCATTCTTTCAATTCGAATACCTTAAATACTTTAGTAAATATTGAACAAAACCGGCTAAGTTGACTCTGGTATTTTATGAGTAATAATAGCCTAAGATGAAGCATGCATAATTTATTTGCCTGTATGACGGTACGCGTACCGTATGGTGACGGATTTAAAATACGGAGTGTCACAACCCCTATTCATCCCGTAGGTGTCGTAAGAACCGACTAAGGAAGCCAACGACGCAGGACAACAGCACTGCAAAGAAAAGAAAAACTTGAAACAAACCCTGTACCCACCCGTCTGGCCAGCGTGGTATAGTAGGCCAAAACCTTATTTCAAAGGAAAGGCCTATGTCCAGCAGTGGACTACTAAAGGCTGTTGATGATGATGATGATCTTAAATAGGTATTGTAAAGTAATAATACTACTATACTTATATTAATGACATATGACAAAAAAATCCAGCCACATTGAGCGGCAATGTGAATTTTCTGGTTAGCTAGTTTCTTATAAACAAAACGAATACTTAGATCCCATAATTCTAATGTCTCGGTACAGTCACAGTCACTGCTTGAAATTAGATGATGCGAGGTTGTCAACATAAGTTACGTTCCATACTGAAGATTTACCCATTCGCGCTGGTTTCGATGACAGAAACGATATACCATCTGGTCTCCTTCCATAGTCTTCTGGACCTGATAAGACATAAATAGAAGTGTAGTTCAAAAAATCTTACACTATGTTAACATATTTATATTAGACAGTATTATAACTCTTCAAAAAAACTCTACAGATAAATATTTATGAACTAAGCCGAAGGCTATATAAAGCCGTTGCCGTGTGGTGCCGGCATAGAATAGTACCACCCCATTTCTTCCCGTGGGTGTCGTAAGAGGCGACTAAGGGATAAAGCCAGGGAACGGGCAGCAGCGTTTCAGAATACCACATGGCACACACTGCGCTCGCCAACCCGTCTGCCAAGCGTGGCGAGTACGGCAAAACCTCCACAATGAAAATAAGACAGCACAGGACCAGGCCCCCAGTACCCGGCAGCCCCGCCAATCCTGGCTATGGTAGCGGTCATGGCAGCGGCGGGGCAGGGGGTGCGAAGAATCCCCGGATGGGATCCGGCTACCACCCCCAACGACAACTGGCCCTGGTAACACACAACATACGCACTTTGAGGACAGACGAGAAGATAGTAGAGCTGGAAGAAGAGTTGAGCAAATTGCGCTGGGATATAGTGGGTTTAGCAGAAGTGCGAAGGGAGGGTGAGGACACGATTACCCTGAATTCCGGCAATTTGCTCTACTACCGGGAGGGCGAACAACAGTCCCAAGGTGGTGTCGGGTTTATCGTCCACAAGTCTCTCATTAGCAACGTGATATCCATCCATAGTGTGTCGAGCAGGGTAGCGTACCTTATACTCAGAATATCTAAGAAATATTCGTTGAAGGTCATACAGGTTTACGCACCGACCTCGACACACCCAGATGATGAAGTGGAAGCTATGTACGAGGACATCAGTCGGGCCATACATAGCACTATTACACACTACAAAAGCTGGGCCAAAGAAGCGATGATGAGTTGAGAGTGGGGCAATTTGGTTATGGGCAACGGAACCTCAGGGGACACAGGCTTTCCTGGAAAAAGAGGGACTCTTTATGATGAACTCTTATTTCCAGAAGCCGCCTCACAGGAAATGGACCTGGATGAGTCCCGATGGTTCCACAAAAAATGAGATTGACTTCATTTTGACCAACAAAAGGCGTATATTCAATGATGTATCCGTGATTCACAGGGTGAAAACCGGAAGTGATCACCGAATGGTTAGAGGCACACTGAATATAGACGTTCAGTTGGAACGCGCCCGTCTAATGAAGTTCACGCTCCGACCTTCGATTGCTCAGATCCAAAACCCCGAAAGCTTTCTACTCGAATTGCAAAATCGCTTCGAATGCCTAGATAGCTGCACATCAGTGGACGAAATCAATAGCAGGCTGGTAGAAAGTATCCATGAGGTTGGGTCTAAGTTCTTCAGACTCCACCGAAAAGATAGACCTCAGAAACTATCCGACCATACCCGGGACCTCATGGTCGGGCGACGTTCTATGACTCTCCAAACCTCCAATGAAGCTAAGTCCTATCGGCAGCTCAATAGACAGATATGGAATTCTCTGCGACACGATCTCCGCTCCTTTAATACTAACAGTATTAAGGAGACGATAGAGCGAAACAAAGGCTCTAAAGGGAAGAGGGGAGTGTAATGTCGAGTAGGCAAGAGGTACTTACGGAGATAGAGAGGTTCTATCGACACTTGTATACCTCAACCACAAAGCCTGCTAGAAGCCCAGTTAAAGACCCTAGAGCAAGGCTAACCCGACATTATACCGAAGATATCCCGGACATCAGCCAGTACGAGATTGGGATGGCTCTGAAACAGCTTAAGAATAACAAAGCACCGGGCGATGACGGAATCACATCTGAGCTTCTGAGAGCGGGTGGCAAACCGGTACTCAAGGTCCTCCAGAAGCTCTTCAATTCCGTCTTGCTCGAGGGACACACGCCAGAGTCATGGAAAAGGGGTGTGGTGGTTCTTTTCTTCAAGAAGAGCGATAATACCTTATTGAAGAACTACAGGCCCATCACACTACTGAGCCATGTCTACAAGCTGTTTTCAAGAGTCATCACGAATCGTCTCCAACGTCGGTTCGATGACTTCCAGCTTCCCGAACAAGCCGGTTTCCGAAAAGGCTATAGTACCATAGACCACATACATACGCTACGGCAGATTATACAGAAGACCGAGGAGTATAATCGGCCACTATGCTTGGCGTTTGTGGACTATGAGAAAGCCTTCGATTCGATCGAAACTTGGGCAGTCTTTAGGTCTCTCCAGCGGAGCCGTATTGACTATCGGTACATCGAGGTATTGAAGTGTTTGTATAATAACGCCAATATGTCAGTTCGAGTACAGGACCAATACACGAAGGCAATTCCATTACAGAGAGGGGTAAGACAGGGAGACGTTATTTCTCCAAAACTGTTTACAGCTGCTCTGGAAGATGCCTTCAAGCTCCTGGAATGGGAAGAACTTGGCATCAACATCAATGGTGAATACATCACTCACCTTCGATTTGCCGACGACATCGTAGTCATGGCAGAATCGCTGGAAGACCTGGGACAAATGCTCGCTGACCTTGACGGAGTTTCTCAACAGATCGGCCTTAAAACGAACATGGACAAGACGAAAATCATGTCGAATGTCCATGTCGCGCCGACGCCCATAGTCGTGGGAAACTCTGTCCTCGAAGTTGTTGACGAATATGTCTACCTAGGACAAACGGTCCAATTAGGTAAGTCCAACTTCGAGGAAGAGGTCAATCGTCGAATCCGACTCTGCTGGGCAGCGTTCGGGAAATTACGAAACGTCTTCACGTCCAAAATACCTCAGTGCCTAAAGACGAAATGCTTCAACCATTGTGTGTTATCAGTGATGACCTACGGAACTGAGACGTGGTCTCTTACTATGGGCCTAATCATAAAGCTCAGAGTCGCTCAGCGTGCTATGGAAAGGGCTATGCTTGGCGTTTCCCTGCGTGATCGAATCCGCAACGAGGAGATCCGCAGGAGAACAAAGGTGATCGACATAGCCCAATGGATTAGCGCGCTCAAGTGGCAATGGGCAGGGCACATAGCAAGGAGAACTGACGGCCGATGGGGCAGCAAGGTTCTCCAATGGAGACCACGTACTGGAAAGCGCAGTGTGGGACGACCGCCTACCCGATGGACGGACGACCTGGTAAAGGTTGCCGGAAACCGTTGGATGCAGCCCGCATTCAACCGTCCCCGCTGGAAATCATTGGGAGAGGCCTATGTCCAGCAGTGGACAAGCATAGGCTGAGGTACATACGAGGGGTGATCAATAAGTAATGATAATCGAGTATTTCTAGAACGCACAAAAACCCAAATTATTTTTTTTCTGCTTGCTTATATATCCACTACTTCAGCTTCAAAAAAATGTATAAATAGGACACCATTACCGGGAGATACATTCATTTGAATACGAACTGTCGAAGAGAAAACATCAAAATGGAGAAAAATGAAATAAGAGCTGTCATCAAGTACCTCTGCCTGAAAAAAATGTCTACCAAAGACATACACAGCGACTTAGAGGAAACATTGGGGGAGTCTGCTCCTCCATATTCCACAGTCGCACGCTGGGCAAAGGAATTTACGAGTAAGCTGGGCAGAACCTCCACTGAAGATGAACATCGCGAGGGACGCCCTTCCACATCCCTTACTGGAGAAAACGTCAAAAAAGTGGAAGATATCGTGTTGGCCGATCGAAGGGTGACCGTAAGGCATGTAGCTGAGGTCACAGGGATCTCCTATGGCAGCGTTCAAAAAATCATTGTCAACAAAATGCATATGAAAAAGGTCTCTGCGCGTTGGGTACCGAGAATATTAACCAACGAGCAAAAAAAGAAACGAGTCGACATTTCGAGGGTGAATCTTCAAAAGTTCCAGGCCGATAAAGAATTTTTTTGTCGCGTTTTGTGACCATGGACGAGACCTGGATCCACCACTTTGATCCCGAAACCAAACAACAATCAATGACTTGGAAACGAGCTTCCTCACCAACGCCGAAGAAATTCAAAGTGTCAAGTTCAGCGGGAAAGGTTATGGCGTCTGTTTTCTGGGATGCAGAAGGAATTATTATGGTGGAATATTTGGAAAAGGGGCCACTATAACAGGCTCTTACTACGCAGGCCAAATAAGAAGATTGCGAGAAGCTATTAAGTCAAAAAGACGCGGTAAACTGCGCGCTGGAGTGCTGTTTCACCAAGACAACGCCCCGGCTCACAAAGCCGCAGTTGCGATGGCTGCCATTGAAGAAACGGGGTTCGAACTGCTCGAACACCCTCCCTATTCGCCAGATCTAGCTCCCAGTGACTTCTACCTCTTTCCTCGGCTCAAAGAACACCTCCGGGGCAAC